ACCAGTTATTCATATTATTTTTTTTTGCTTTTGTGTATTGCAAATACAGTCAAAGGAATGGCATGAAATAGCAACACGAGTTAAAAATTTTCAAATTATCATCATGCATAAAAAAAATAGCACAGAAATTAAATGAAGAAATTTTTCAATCATCTACACATCACTTTATGACAATGAGAAGCTTCTGTGTTGTAGTTCTTTTCTTATTTAAATGCTTTGGGCAGAGAATAAATTGAGAAACTATTAAAATAATCAGATGGATTGTAATGAGATTTTTTTAAAATGATTTTAGGGGTTTGTAAGGTGTTTGAAGAATTTATATGGTGCAATGGATGTTCTTATAGCAGCAAAATTGGTAACTTGATATTAATTTATGCTCAGAACCAGGGTCGGGGTTCTAAGTGTTTACAGGTATTATAAGAGTATGTTTATAAACTAGAAGTAGCTGGAGGTGTAGGCGTATACCGATTGACCAGATACAGAGCTCAGTATTAAGGAATGTCTTGTGAATTCTGCATCATTTGATTAAATCTGTCGTAACTTATTCAGTACACTTAAATCATACCCTTAACTCAGTGGTCCTTAAACTATGTGACGCGGCACACTAGTGTGAAGTGAAAAAATTGAATGCTTTAATCGGATCCATGTTTTCGTGTTTGTGACTTCAAAAAGATTATTCAGGTTGTGAAAAAAATTTTGAAGAAAAAAGTGCCTTGAAGCAAAAAAATTTGAGAAAAACTGTCTTAACTATCCATTAAAATTGCTACTAACCTAATAGGCTGAAATCAAGCGTCAGATTTTTGATTGACTTGTGCTTTTTGGGTAGCTTCGATACAGCTAAGCCATATTCAATGAATATGTTTTTAGACCGATTTTTTATGCCGATAAGATAAACATCAACGGTAACTCAGAGAACTCAAAGCACAAGCTTCAAGCAAGAATTATAATCAAACCAATCCAATTAATTTAAAACTTAATCCAACACTCTATCCAATCCTTGCTAAAATTCAAATCTTGCACAAAATTCTTAAAATTGTTTGAAAATCTCAAAATTAACTACAATCCTTGACCCAGCAAACAACCACTTGTGTCTCTAAAGCAGGTCATCAAAAAATCTCAAAATAAAATATGTAAATAAAAATTCTCACTTGACAGTAGCATTCATGAAATGACAAAAATATGCAAAATGAAACATTTTAAAATCTAATCTTGCAAATAATAGTAATAATAATAATGGCAAAAGGAAGGTGTGCTATCTGATGAGATTAATCTATTAGGATAAAGCTATAAAAGACACATGTGTATGAGATCATAATATGAATATAAGGGGAAAGGTTGAAGGCTTTTCTAATTTAAATTTAAATTTATTTCACATAGATGAAATTACAACTCTATGAAAATAAGAAATATTTTAGTATAGTTGTAGTTGAAAATAGTCATCATTAAAATAGAAAAATAAATATTTTTTTGTACTTCTGAGAAGATAGAGACAGAGGGAAATATGAAAAGAAGTGAGAAGATGCGAGTAGTAATAAATTATTCGAAGATTAGTAAATAAAAATTTACATATTTTAATGGTTTGGAACGATTTCTGCTTTTTTTTGCTCATAACTTTTTAAGCCTTTTGTCCTTGTCGTTTTATTATTGTAAAGTATTTTCATTTTTTTATGGTTGAGGTGGTGTTTTGTGGGAGGTGGAGGTAACAAATATTAAGTTTTGAGCTTTTAAGGCAAATATTTTAATTAATTGTTTGATTCAGGGACGTAGTGTTCATAGTATGTACCCCTCCCCCTAAATTTGCTAGGTTTTTTTGAAAAAATATTCCCAAAACTTTGCTAAATTTTTACTTTTATTCAAAAACATCTCAACACCTGTAACGGCGTATCCAGAACTTTTTTTTGTGTAGGATTTGAAAGTTTAAAGGAGCTGAAAAGATTTTTTCATAAAAACCCTAGCAAAATAAAAAAATTTCTGTTGACTTAGGGGGTCGACCACCCCTCAATCAAGCCTGCACCACTGGTTTTATCTTTTCAAATTTTAAAAACAAATTTATATTTTTGAACTTTTGATCTTTAAATTTTAAAATATAAAAAATGTTCTCAGCATCGAATTTCAAATAACAAATGTCATTCTTCACCCTCATTTAAATCCATCAAAAATACTAATCGTGACTGAAACACCAAAATTGATTTAGTCTAATTAAAATGTACATATGATTTGACATATTCAGATTAAAAAATTTATTTTTCTCAATCTGTCATATTTTTTTTCTCTACTCCCACATCCAATTAACACATTTTCATAAATAATTTACATTTTCCTCTTTCATTTTAAAAAATTCTTTTATTTTTATTTATTCATGCAAGTTAAAAGGAAATACTTTTGAGATTTTTCACTTGAAAAATGCAAGAAATTTATCGAGGAATGCTCGATAATTTTAGAAATTGATTTTCCATTAATAAAATATATTTTCAAGTTCAATCAATTCCACATGTGCTTCCACTTTATTTTCTGCACAAATAATAAAATTTTAATTTTTTTCTAGCTTTGCAAAACTTTGATGATTTTTCAATTCAGCTATTTTAAGATCGGATGGAATTCTCATTACGATTAAGTGACCATGAAGTTTCAGACACAAAACAAAATTTGCATGTCAAATTTGAAGATGACACTGATTTATGTACAAAGAATTGTTTGAGATTTTTGATTGTTTTAGCTGTATAATCGCTTTGGAGTGCTCAAAAAGCACTTTGTGATTGGTTGGTTGTTTTGAGATATTAGATGGTGATATGTGATTCATCTTGTAAGGAGCAAATTGTTAAGAAGAATGTCAAAAAGCAGAATTGATTTATTTTTAAGGTGTTACAATATTCCCGAAAGACAACTTACGGTGAAAAAATTGACAGCCATTTTCTAAAGTCCAGGACGGCATTAACGCTGAATTTCGTCAACTATGGCGTGTCTAGTCCTGATCGTGAGGTTAATAGCCATTTTCACACAGTGAGCCTTTTGGGATTGTTCTTTGACTAGAATAGGTTGTCGCTGTTAACATTCGAGACTATTCCCATGAATTAAATGCACATCTAATCCTTGCCTACAACCTTATTTCCCCAATTACTGACTACCCTGTTGGCTTATTCCAGTCAAATTAAAACTCAACTTCTCTCATAGATTCTCCTAATTATCTATGCATTAAGATTCATTCCAGCATATTTACAAACAACCGAATTCAAAAATATTTTTCAAATTCAATTTTCTCTTCTCTAAATTTCTTAATTATATTTTTCTACATTTCCTCTTTCAACTTATTGATTACATTTTCATAGAACCTGATACATTGTCTAATTATGATTTTGACTGCAAGCATTTGTAAGAGTTGTAAACTTTTTTTTTGCTCCAAAAAAAATATTGTTAAAAAGTTTTTTATTAAAAAAAAATATCTCAAATTTCAATCCCAGTTCCTCGTGCCTTCATCTTTCTTTCCTGTTCAATTAATTTGTTGTGGCATTTTACAAATGACCCCAATGTTGATTTCAAATGGCTTCATTAAGGCATCATCAATCGTTGTCATAGCATCGCGCTCGCATCAAATGAGATAAGCAAAAAGTGAGATGACGACATTAAAAAATTTTTTTTGCCTCGTTTTTATAACGCAAAAAAATAAGAATCTTGAAGCTGATAACCTTTTTATAAGTTCTCTTTCTGATCGACCATAACTTACTTTGTGAAGTTTTTTTTAAGGGATATTTTCCTTCACTAATTGAATCAGACTTAAAAATATTTTTTTGATGCTTGAATGAAAGTGAAAGAAAGTTTTTTTTAAAATGGGGGCGTTCATAAATGATGTTAATATTTTCATCTTCAATCAGGCTTTCACAAGAATATTAGAATTGAAGGATCTCTGCTACCAAAGAAGGAATTATATGGAATCATAAGGAATCATAAAATAGTCAAGGGTGTGCTGACCCTCGAAGGAGCTGATTCTTATTGCTAATCGATTTTAACGAAGCGATGTGTTCGTACATGATGTAATAAATATTCGGTGCTGCAGTTTTGATTGAGAAAGAATTTATCTAGGCGAAGCTAGAGGCAAGTCAAAGCTCCCCGGCCTCATTTTTGAAAAGGTTTCTTCAATTTTTTATGGTTTGTTGAGAAAACTCCCAAATTTCTTTATACAAACTATATCCCCCCCCCCCCCCCTCCATCCAATAAAAGAAATTCAAATTTTTCGCTACTTCCGGACGTCATTAAACCTCTCCTAACCCCTCCTATTCCCCAGTTCCCCTAGAAAATTAAATTTCATTTAAGAACATCTTCAAAACCCCTCCTATGCCCCAGTTCCCCTAGAAAATTGAACATCATTCAAGAACAACTCCAAATAGAAGACTTGTCATTTACCATTAAAAAATTTTCGTCACAGAATCTTTACATTTTCTTAGAACTTCAATGAAAGAATCGAAAAAAAAATTCATTTTCCCACAAACTCTATGATTTCATTTTTCATCTAAAAGTTAAAGAAAATAGAAAATTTTCCCAGAAATCTTCACAAGCATTTATCTTTAAAAATACTTGTCAAATTGATTTATTTATTAGAATCGCCACACGCAGTGTGACATGAGAAAATTTTGTGAAACATCTTAATGCAATTTGGAATGAAAAAAAAAACATTGAGAACTGCATGTAATGAGAAGATATAAAGATGTGTGATACTTCGGATACTTAGAAGATGATGTTAAGGCTAATTTTCATTTGACTGGTTTTATAGAACGCGTATTTTAGGAAAAATGAAGATTCCAGCTGTGAGGCTGATGTGGAGTTGGATTCGTAGTCAAAGTGGGAATTTGTGATCATTACGCTAGCTTCATCTGACTGGGTACTAGCTATTCTAAGGAAGATGAATCCCTAGAATCAAGTCCCAACCTTAGCAGCATCATGTAGCATCCAGAATTCTCAAATTTCTTTTAAAAGATTATACAAAAATCTCATTCAATAAAACTTACCTTGTGCTCTAACATTAGGCAGCAGATAGACTGCTATCAATGATAAAAATATTAAATTTTTCACTAACAACCCCATGATGATGATGGGCTGTTTTCAACCTGATGTTAACTTCTCTCTATTATTTCTTAGTACTTTTAATGTTTTCTATTTCTCTTATTTTCACGTACTGTACTTTAATAAATTTTATTCAGAAAATCCTGTGGATTAAAAATTTTAAGGATTTTTTACTTCCGCACACTTTTTTCTGTTGAATTTGTGAATAGAATCTTTTTTAAATATCCTGTAAAATTCACTTTTAATCAATTTGAATGCTTTAGATTTTTTAATATTCACATCAAGTGAATTTCTTCCAAAATCACTTAATGCCTTGTAAATCTCACACATTACATCACATGCCATAATTTCCATTGACTTTTTTTCGCACACCTTCTTTTTATTTACTCTTATACCTTTCATACCCTCGCTTTACTCATTAAATTAAGTTTCTTTTTTTTCAAGATTCTTTTTCATGCTCTTTTGCGCGTCAGCAAATCACAGCATGAAACATCTTACAACCCCTCGTTTTCACTAAACATTGAATTACTTATCGACTTTAGATTTATTTGAAAATTAATTTTGACACCGCTGAAGATGTTGAAGTGAAAGTAATAATGAAGGAATTAAGAAGGATGGAGAAAGAACTGCGATGCGATGATTCTATTATGATGGAAAGTGGATTAAAAAAGTTTAGAGTTTTCTTATTTTTTGAGTGGAAGACGGGAAAACTTCATTTAATTTTATTAATTTTTATGCAGGAATTTTTATCGAAATTTAGAGATTTAAGATTAAGCAAGTGAATTAGCAACTTGATAACTATTCTGACTGGAAATTTTGTAAACTTAAGAATTATATTATTAATATAAAGACTATTTGTTCGAGGTAAAAGAACTCATAGGAGTAGGACAAAGAATCAAGCAGCTGGTCTAATCTGTTGATGTTCAGGCATGTTTACGCTTAGATTGCCTGATTCAAAAGGAGGGTAGAGTAACGCTCAGATAGAGTAATGCTCAGCTAAAGAAACGCTCAGCTGAAGTGACGTTCAGCTACAGAAACGCTCAGCTGAAATAACGCTCGGCTAGAGTAACGCTCAGCTCAAGTAACGCTCAGCTCAAGTAACGCTCAGCTAAAGAAACGCGCAGCTGGAGTTACGTTCAGCTACAGAAACGCTCAGCTAGAGTAATGCTCAGCTGGAGTGACGTTTAGCTACAGAAACGCTCAGCTGAAATAACGCTCGGCTAGAGTAAGGCTCAGCTCAAGTAACACTCAGCCCAAGTAACGCTCAGCTCAAGTAACGCTCAGCTGGAAGAACGCTCAGCTAGAGTAACGCTCAACCATAGAAAATCTCAGCTATAGTAACGCTCAGCTACAGAGAATATGAGCTTGAGAAAAGCTGAGAGTAACGCTTAGCTAGAGGAACACTCAGTTAAAGTATCGCTCAACTACAATGATACGTTTTTACAGCGACGCTTAGTTAAAGAAGTATTCAGCTATTATAACAGGAACTAATTTTAAATCTTTATTGAACTTTTGTGCTAAACACCTTCCAAACCCCATTCAAACATCAGAATGTGCTACGTGAACTTGCATTATTTACCTTTTCTAATAAATCTCAAAAGTTAAGCACTTTCATCCAATGAAAAAGCTCAAACTCTCCATAAAAATTGCTCAATAAAACTACAGGATCAATTACCATAACGCAACTACCTGTAGATTCACATATTAAACTTGAAAATCAAATTAAAAATTAAAAACATTTACGTAGCCATAAAATTTTTATTACATCAACCTTGAAAAAGTATTTATAAGTCTTTATTAATCGTATACAGTCATAACTTTTTTTGAATTTTTCTTCATCAAAATAAATTGAAATTCAATCAACAATAGAGAAAAAATTCAAAATGTTGATTAAAAACTTTTTATAATAACTCTTTTTGTTAGTTTAGTGTAGTTTTATGGCTGCATAGAGAGAATAAAATGTTTTTGGACGAAGCATAGAAATGCAAAATGAATTTGGATGAGCTTTTTGTTTTTAAAGTTTGATTCTAGCATTCAAGTAGTCTATAATGTTGAGGTTACGCTACTTGAGGCTACTCTACTTGATATCGACCCTACTTGAAGTAAACCCTACTTGAGGCTACATTACTTGATGTCGACCCTACTTGAAGTCAATCCTACTTGAGGCTACCCTAATTGAAGTCGACTCTATTCTAAACTGAAACTTCAGACAATTCAAAAAACAAAACAAAATCCATTAAATTCAAACACTTGTTGTGTAAGATTCTACAGGAAATTAAGCAATTAAAATTAATTCCAAATATGAAAATCTAAATGATAATCTTTGCCACTTATTACAGCCACTAATTCCCTCCATATTCAACTCAAACTATGCATAATCCAATTCCTTAAGCATGCAGATGTTCATCGCATGAAAATAAAAATGTCTTTAAGCTTGTTCATTTCACACATCATTTCGCGAAATGAGAAGCTAAAAAATTCTTTTAATGTTTGGAAATTGAAACGAATTGCGGTTAAACACAAAAGAGAATAAGATCTGTTCATTACTTTCCAAATGAACAACAAACATATGTGTGACTTCTGCAATTTGCTGCATAAGCTTGTCTTTGCTTCATCAAAATTAATGAAATTTCTCTCCTCTCGCTGTCAGAGACGTTAAAAAAAAACCACAAGTGGAACTCGGCTCGTAAATTTCAACATTATTCGCATATTTAGTAACATGCAGCTAGTTAAGTTCTCAAGTATCATTCATAATAAGCCTACATCATGATATTTTATTTTTCATAATGCACTTTCCATAGTTCTTCAATTTTCACTTCCGTTTTCACTTTTCATAACTTTTAATTCTACATATGCAGCTATGTGTGAGTAATGTAGCACCATTGTGATTAATTAGATGCACTTTGTTTGTTTCTAATGAAGGATTTTTATGATGAATTTTTTCTGGATTTTAGTAGATTGAATGACTTTTTAAGGAAGTTAACTGCAGTTTAGGATCTTATATGTTGCAGTTATGGCACAGCTTTCATATGTTCGAGACTAAGGATGAGACATGCACTAGAAATGAATTTGATTTAAGCTATGGAGCGGAACTTACGAATTGAGTTTCAATCATTTTTAACTCAAAGCTTGTCTATACTAGTGGTTCTGTCCTAACCCCAACACCCTTCTGGTTACGCACCTACAATTGGCTCAAAAACTCGATTCATTAAATCAATCTTTAAAAATCCTTGAAAGTTTCTTAGCCATCAATAAATCTTTTGTCAATATATTTGCAAATCTAACTCAATAACTTGCTAATCTCAAACCAATGCCAATCTGTTCACAATAATTTAAACAACTGAATAACAAAAAATTGTTTGCGAATTTCCATTATCACAATCCATTCTAAAAATGCTAATTCTGCATTTTAGAAAAAACTTCAATTCCGATCTTTTGTTAACAAGCACAACTTTAATTCTTGCATTTAAAAAAATAATAATTTTTTTATTACTTTATGTCGCCAAAAAGAGAATAAATGAAACACATTTAAATTCATTAACAATGATTAGTCATAAGTCGCTAATATTTCTCTTCCTACTGCCAACTTTTTCATACACTCTCACTCGAATATGAGTCAAAAAAAGTGTCGTTTTGCGGTTTATTTTTATTTTTATCTTGAATTTTTTTCAATTTTTCTTTTTCACTCTCTTTCTGTTCTGCAATTTTCTTTTTAATTTTTTTTAAATGAACTTCTTGTTATTCTTGTGTTTATTGTTTATTATTCATTTGTTGTTTGACTAATTTAAAGACATCAACATTATTGAATTAAACGACAAAAGTTGACTTTTTATTAGACGTTATAATTCAACTGTTTTGACGACAGTCTGTTGTGGTATTGTAATTTATTTGGACGATTCTCTTTTTTTATCAAATTAAAAATTGTGATTATGTGTTCGCATAGCTCACATGTCATTTAGTAATTTGCTGATAAAGCTTGTGTAGAGGAATTTTATCAGTCTATTAATAATGACAATAGGCTTATGAATGTTTTGATGTTGAGGAATTGATTGTTTACAGCTGAGAAAGAAATCGACTATGATTTGGACGTGATCATGACGAAAAGGAGAACAATAGAGTCTTTTTGTTACAATTTTAGATTTTTACAACTTTTAATTCAAATATTGTGCTTGGTTTTTAAATTCTTTCCCTGAGAGCTTACCATCAATGATTAATAATCAACCTTTTGGAACATTCAGACATGTCTGGCTTTACACTTTTTCCAGTTTCTAGTTAATTTTGTCGAAATAAACAATGAGATCTTATCTTTAGAGATAGAATATTATCTTTTCTATTTTTAACAATGTAAAGTAGCTTTTTGACAGTCTTTTGCTAAGCAATATCGGGCAATATCTTTGCGGCAAACATTTAGCATGTCGTTAGCATGAAAGTGTCGGTTTTGTTGCACTTTCTTTGACAGAATATTGATAATTTATGCTTGAGTTAATGAAGTGAAAGAGCAAGACTGGAATTGGGAGATTTAAATCTTGTGCATAAGCAATATGTATTGTTCATTAAGTACTAAAGATATTTTTTAAAAAATAGAAGACATTCAACGTGTCTATTTTATTTGTTTTCTGGACGAATCAAAACAAAACCATTTTATTTTTGAAAAATGAAAAAAATTTAAGACTGTCCTCTGAAAAACCAAGCAGATGACCAGCCTACTAATGATACGTAATTGAATGCATATGGATGATTCTGATTAAAGAAGTCCCAATGCAAGACCAATGTAAGACATAATCAACAAAGAATCAATCTATGATTCATAATTCTACAAATATCCAGTTTTTTGAGAAGCTTAAGAGAGGCGTAGCCAAGAACTTAGGGGGGGTGGGAAGCAAATATTGTTTTTTGTATGAAACAATTTAAAGGGGAGAGTTTGGGATTTTAAGAATTTTTTTTATCAAAGTCGTAGCAAAATGAAGTAGTTTCTGTTCACGTAAAGGAATTTGTTACCCGAATCATCCCTCCTTACCCTAACCACAATATATGCCAAATTTAAAAACTGGAAAAAAATTCTAAATTCTTCTTTGATTTGATTCAAATCGATTTTGATCAATCTAATAAAAAATCAACCTCAAATAAATTTTCTCAATTTTGC